TATAAAAATTAAAGCATTCAATAAAGCAAAAATATTAATAACCGGGCAAAACATTAAAATTTAACTGGTACAAAATTAGTAACAATTTGCATCTTGCTTTCATTGTGGTAGATTAATAAAATTGGAGTTAATACATAAATTATTACAATGAGAATAGTGAGTTAAAAATTTCATCCAAGAACATTGAGTAATCTCAATAATAAATATGTAGATTTGATGGAGCAATTTCATGATTTTTGATAAACATATTATCAGTATTCATAAGCAAAAAATGTGGACTTTAAAGACATATTCAAATACCGAGAGAAATAAGATTAATGTCGGAAGGCCGCACAAATAAGGATGCTTCCTCACCCTTCCAAAATGAAGTCATTTCATCTCATCGTGACATTTTTTAATAAAAATGATGAAATGAAGAACTTAGAAAGCCAACTCACAATTCTTGAATTACTAATTATTTTTCGCCATCCCAGTTTACAAAATTCCTTATATCCAAAACAATACCTCAAAAAAGAAAAGAAGGATACCTGTTATGCTAGTAGCTCTCAAACAAACCGAGGTACTTAGTAATGAGAAACAAATGGGTGATGCTTGTCCCATCCAGAAGCTTGTCCTGCTCACATTAATCGTATTATGTGATTAATTATTCTTGTCTGATAATATATATAGTGGCTTAAACTAATGGTATTCCATCATCACGTATAACATCGAGAAATTAGATATGAACGAAAATGAATAAAATCCAGAGCATCAAGACATAATATTCGGCTAATACATTTTGAGATGGTATATTCGAAAACAAAACAGAGCTTAAACAAAACAGATGAAATGGCGGTAGTACACTTCTAATTCTTAAACAGATGAAATGCGTCATCACTCACCACTACCATTTATCTTCACCTCCGTCACAACAATTTTTCTTCTAATTCTTAAACAGATGAAATGCGTCATCACTCACCACTACCATTTATCTTCACCTCCGTCACAACAATTTTTCCTTGGGGAATCGCTAAACACCAAAAAAAAAAAAAAAAAAAAAGAATCCGACAAAGATTGTAGTTTTTTTTTGTCCGAGTTAACAAATCCCACATATCAAAATGAAATAAATTTGCAAAAATAAAAATGAAATGATAATCTGTGAAATTAAATTACCTCTTTCCGCAGATTAGGGATTGGTTCCATAGCTAAACAGATCTAAGCCAGCCAGATTACTTGGAGCTCTTATCTATCATCATTATTACAAACACCATCATCATTTTTTAGCTTCTTCGATTCTTGTTCTTCGTCACCGTCACAATGAACTCCTCTGAAAAATGAATGAACACAGCCCCAAATGAGAGTGAGGATGGAAGAGAGATAATCAGAAGAATCAAACACAACTCAAAAGAGAAATTCAACATAAAAAAAGTCATAGAAAAACGCATGAATCAGGGGGAATTAAAAAAAAAAAGCAAATACCTTGTCCTTGTCAGAAAGAATCAAACATGAAACACGTGGATTATTTCCACATTGTATTTTTAACTTTCTTATTTTTTAAACTAAATTTTAGTTATGGAGTAAGTAGTGCTTAGTGGGTTAAGTATAGTGCTTAGTGGGTTAAGTATAGTGCTTAGTGGGCTAAGTAGTGCTTAGTGGATTTAATTGTGGATTTTATTCTAACTTCCTAACTAACCCACTAACCCATTTTCTTGAGTGCTCTTGTGGTTGGTTTTCTTGCAGATCATGGGCTGAGGAGTGGAAGCTTGAAATGTCTATAAATACCGATTTCAATACTCAATGTTTTTTATCGATTCTACGAAATAAAAACCGAGAGCTGAAGAGAATACGTGATTGTTTTAGTGTGGTTTTAGAATCGGTTGTTTGTACTCTTCATGAGTACATTCTTTACGTACTTATCATAAGTACATTCTTTGTAGTCTAGATTGTTTAGTATAAATGTTTCTAGACTTGGTTGTAAGAATGATCAAGATAGTGATTCATTCATAAGTTCTTTACGTACTCCTCACGAGTACATCTTTGAAATCTAGAATTTTTAATATTTTTCTTTTAGTATCTAGATTTGATTGTAAGAATGATCTTGAAAAAGATTCATTCATAAGGAAGAAGTTTTCGCACCTCTTCTGTTTGTATTCTTGGAATACTGATTTTAATATATTTTTCCGTCCTGTAAAGGGCAAGTTCACAAGTCTTTACTTGTGAACATTTTTAATTCTGAGTATTGTTATTTTATCTTTATATTTCCGCTGCATGTTTGTTCAAGTGTCATAACACTTAAGATAACACCTCTGTATTAAACGAATTCGGGACCATAAATTCTTTCAATTGGCATCAAGAGCCAACACTTGACGTATACTAAGTGTTTGTTCCTATTTTTTCAGAAACGAATTCGTGATGGATACTCAGATGACTGCGTCTATGCGACCTCCTGTACTTGATGGCACAAACTACACCTACTGGAAAGGGGCGTACATCAAAGCCATTGATGAGAAAGCCTGGAGATCTATTCTTACTGGATGGAAGCCACCAACTATCACATATGCGGATGTATTTCCAACACCAGAATTACGGTGGACAGCAGACGATCTATCAAATGCACTCCAGGCAGAACTAGAAAAGGAAGAAGTTTCTACGGAATATGATGATGATGCAGATGAATGTCTCAACAATGTGGCATTTCAGATTCAAAAATTCAATACGGCATACAGACGAAGTGGAATCAAACCTCGACAGTTATTTCCAGATGGCTCTCCACAAAATCGTCAAACTCAACCTCGGAACAGATCTATTCCACAGAGAACATTTCCTCAAACATCTTCTCAAAACACTTTAAAAAATTCTTCATTTATTCGTTCAAATTCTGAACCACCTAACTTGGATCATATTAAATGCAGGGCATGTTCAGGATTTGGACATTATGCTAATGAATGTGCAAATACCTTGAGAAGAAGAGGAATGAGTCTGATTTGTGCTGTCAGCGATGAGGAGGAAGAGAAACCTGAACAGACAGAGGAGCAGCAACCCACTAAACAAGCTCTCTCTGTCAGATATATCACTGGAAATACTTCTGAAACAGAATCACAAGGAGTTCCTCTGGATGCTGCAACACCTTCTGAAACACCTTCAGTAACTGAAATTTCTGAGTTAAATACTGATCATTATACATGTTTAAACTCTATTTCTTTGAATGCAGCAGAATCCAGTAATGAAGCAGTTAGTGATGAGGAAGAATTGTACAAGAAATTGTTCAGTGACTTGGAGAAGAAGACTCATGCTCTAGATGCAGTCAACAAGGAAAATCCTTCTCTCAAAGAAACAATCACTCATTTGGAGGTTGGTATCACCAAGAAGGATCTTGAACTGGCAAAGGTGAAAGATGAACTCAAAGAAGCAACTCTAGCAATCAAGAGGATGAATACCGGCACAACTAAACTCGAAGAGATTGTGTCACTGGAAAAGTACAACAAAAAAGAAGGTCTAGGGTTCAAGAAACAAGTGAAGAAACACAAGCCAGTGAAGAAGAAAGAAGTTGTCTTTGTCAAAGAGAAGAGTTCAGATGGCAAGGAATCCAGAATTTCACAGTCACCACTTCAGAGTCCAGAATAAGGGGATACATTTGTCATTATTGTTTCTCACCAGGACATATTCGTCCATTTTGTGAAAAACTCAGTAGTGACAAAATGTTGTACAGGATGAGTCACAACACTCCAGGGAACACCTCCAAGAAAAAGGTAGAATTTACCAAAAAGGAGTGTAGAATATGGACTCCCAAAGGTAAACTTATGTGCAAAACAGTATACACTTCTTTAAATGCTAACATTTCAGGTTCATGGTACTTTGATAGTGGATGTTCTAGGCACATGGCCGGAACTAAAGAGTTTCTATCAAACTACCATACACTAAATGGTGGACGTGTAACCTATGGAGAAGGAGCTAAAGGCAAAGTGGTTGGAAGTGGAACACTCAGTATTGATGGACTTCCAAAACTTTCAAATGTCTTACATGTTGAAAGATTGGGGTCAAATCTCATCAGTATTAGTCTATTGTGTGATGACTATCTACGTGTTCAATTTGATAAATACTGTTGTTCTGTGTTTAATAATCAAAATCATTGTGTAGTGACAGGTTCCAGATCAATGGATAATTGTTATCAAACAGGTGACACCATCTCATGCAAGAGCTCAAGAGTAAGTGAAGTAGAGCTGTGGCACCAGAAGCTAGGGCACACAAACTTCAAAAATCTGAAGCTGCTCAACAAGTACAATTCCATAAGAGGAATTCCAGATCTCAAGATCAAGGACATCCCTATATGTGGAATGTGCCAGAAGGGAAAGCAAACTAGAGTACCACACAAAGTTTTACAACCCGTTGGTACCACCATTTGTTTTGAACTTGTACATATGGATCTTATGGGTCCTATAGAGGTAGAAAGCCTAGGTGGTAAAAAATATGTATTTGTGTGTGTTGATGATTTTTCAAGATATATTTTGATGTATTTTTTAAGAGAAAAATCTGGTCTAGAATACATGCATGTGTTTGGATGTGTTTGCTATGTCCTCAATTATAGAGATCATCTAGCTAAATTTGATTCCAAGAGTGATTTGAGTTTATTTATGGGATACTCTAATAACAGTCATGCTTATAGAGTATATAACTTAAGAACTCGAACCATTATTGAATCTGTAAATGTGGTATTTGATGATTTTGCTGATCTCCGCAGTAAAACAGCTGAAGATGGAGTTGATGACCTGATTGCTGAAGGAGAAACAACCGGAGGAGACACTACTGCCACAGATGCTCAAGATATAAACAGTCCAGTATCAAGAGAAGAGGGTGTTGAGCCAAGTGTTACCACATCTGACTCAATACTTCCTACAGAGAGCACAGAAGCTGAATTGCAGCCAACTCATGATGTCTGCAGAAAGGAACCATCAAGCAGAATCCAGAAAAATCACCCATCGACTCAAGTTGTAGGAGATATCTTTGATGGGATAAGGACCAGAAGAAAATAGAGAGTGAATTACAGAGATATGGTAAGATTTGCAAATTTATCTTCTGAATGTACACTAACTGGAACTACTTGCTTTGTGTCTTCAGTTGAACCAAGGAATATTGCAGAAGCTCTGAAGGATGAATTCTGGGTCAATGCAATGCATGAAGAGTTGAATCAATTCATCAGGAATGATGTTTGGTACTTAGTTCTCAGACCAAACCATGTAAATGTGATAGGAACTAAGTGGATCTTCAAAAACAAAACAGATGAAAAAGGTACAGTTGTTAGAAACAAGGCTAGGTTAGTAGCACAAGGATACACTCAAATTGAGGGTATAGACTTTGATGAGACTTTTGCTCCAGTAGCTAGAATTGAATCTATTAGATTACTTCTTGCTATAGCCTGCTTTCTTAAAATCAAACTGTATCAGATGGATATCAAAAGTGCATTTCTGAATGGAGTTTTAAATGAAGAAGCATATGTAGAACAGCCAAAGGGTTTTGAAGATTCTGCCAAACCTAATCATGTTTTCAAGCTTAAGAAGGCACTGTATGGTCTTAAACAAGCTCCTAGAGCTTGGTATCAAAGACTCACTGACTTCTTACTTGAAATACAGTTCAAAAGAGGGGAGGCAGACAGAACTTTGTTTGTTAGAAGAACTAATAATCATATCATTATTGTTCAGATATATGTTGATGACATTGTTTTTGGCTCTACTTGTGCTAACATTTTGCAGTCTTTTGTAGATTCTATGTCTCACACTTTTGAAATGAGTATGGTAGGGGAGTTGAATTACTTCTTAGGACTCCAAATCAAACAGACAGGTGAAGGAATGTTTGTGAATCAGAAGAAGTATGCTCTCAATCTGGTCAAAAGGTTTGAGTTGGAATCAGCCAAGCACATGAAAACTCCAATGGGTTCCAGCCAAAAACTGTCTAAGGATGATGTTGCAGAAGATGTCGACAGCACTCTCTACAGAAGCATGATTGGAAGCCTTCTGTATCTAACAGCAAGCAGGCCTGACATTATGTTTAGTGTTTGTGTGTGTGCCAGATATCAAGCTAATCCCAAGGTCACTCATCTTAAAGCTGTGAAGAGGATTATTAGGTATGTTGCAGGTACAGTAGACTTAGGGATTCAGTTTTTCAAAGACACAAATACAAACTTGATAAGCTTTAGTGATTCTGATTGGGCTGGGGATATTAGTGACAGAAAAAGCACCTCAGGTGCATGTTTCTTTCTGGGGAATAATCTAGTTTCTTGGTTTAGTAGAAAGCAAAACTGTGTATCTCTTTCAACAGCTGAATCAGAATATGTAGCTGCTGGAGGGTGTTGTGGTCAACTAATTTGGATGAAACAAATGTTGGGGGATTATGGGTTAACCAGTGATACCCTGACCATATATTGTGATAATTCAAGTGCTATTGACATTTCAAAAAATCCTGTTCAACACTCACGAACTAAACACATAGATATTAAACATCATTTTATTCGTGATATAGTTGAGAAAAATATAGTGTGCTTAAAATACATTCCTACAGAAGATCAGCTAGCTGACATCTTTACAAAGGCATTAGATTATGAGAGGTTTTCTAAACTCAGAAAAACTCTCGGGATGTGTACCCAATAAACATGTCCTGAAATATGTTGCAGCACCGCATCAAACATCTTAAGCTGCAACATAATTTACTGAAGCTTAGCTTCTTTAAATAATGACTTCACTGTGATGAATTATTTTTCTAAATAAGTAACTGGAAGTCTTTCACCTTGAAACGTGATTATGCTTCATGTAAACATTTGGGAAATAATTCCACTCACATAAGTCAAACTCCTCTATTTCGATAGTCATATCTTAGTAACTGAGGAACCTTCAAACTGAACACTTGATCATGTTCCATGTGAATTGTTTGACTTGAAAATAAGAGTTTAAAAAAAAAAAAAAAAAAAAAAAAAAAAAAAAATTTAGATATATATATAATAAAATCTATGCCTGTTAGCCAATTTTTTTCTCATACTATTAATCATTAATAAATGTGTTTCTTATTTTTGTGAAAATTTCGTGAGTGCTACTATTTTTATTATTATTTTATTTATTATTGAATTATCACTATTTATATGGGTCATGGGGTACATGGGTTAGTCTTTTATCTTCCACTAAGTCCACTCCTTATTGTTCCATGTGTCACGTTTTGTTTTAAACTGCCACATAAACATTTATTCTCCTTAATCACACTTTCTCCAAGAAAAACGCACACCACTTCTTCACTTTCTCCACTTCAATTTGTTTTTTCTGCAAATTAGGGCTTATAAATTTCGTGCTTCTTTTTCGAAAATTCACACTCAAAAATCAAAAGCACAAGAAGCAATTTTTATCTACTGTATCATGGCATCTCCTCCTAGAAATCCTCTTCCAGCCGCCGTTGGTGATGTCCACAACGATGCTGCAGCACCTGAACCAGCAGACCCAAGTCTGGCCATCATCGTTCATCCTGTCAATCTTGAAGCTATGCCGATCAGCTTCATTGAGCCCGGAGACGAGCTGAATCCGATTGACCCAGAAAACTTCCAGAACGTGGGTCTCTCTTCCAATGCAGGAAGATTTCCAACTCGCCGGTCCAAGCGCATGAATCCCTTCCCAGATCTGAATGCTACTGGATTACAATACAACGCCGAAGGGGAAGACATTCTCCCAGCAGAGGCGGCAGAGGTAGAAGAAGAGGCAGCAGAGTCGGTCGCACTCCAGTTAGGCCAAACCCACCAAGAGGCCTTCATTTGGTTGATGAAGAAACTGATGATGAAGAAGGAGATCCTACTTTTGCAGAACCAAGCCCAAGCTCTCTCCTCAAGCTTCACTGAGTCATCCTCCAACGACTCAATTCCATCAGCATCAACTTAGGGGGAGACACTTCAGCCTAACATGGCAGCAGCCTCTTCTCAAACATCCTGTTTCCGAAGATGTTGTTGCACATGTTCCTGAAAATGTTGTCGCACCTACTGTCTCAGACAATGCCCTTCAGAATGCTGCTGAGGATGCTGTTCCTTATCAAGATGAGGAAATGCCAGAATTTTCTGGGATGTCCTTTGCTGAGCATGTAGATATCACCACTGCTGATGCCGAGGACTTTGCCACCACAGAAGAATCCTCACTTCCTACACCCTCAGCTCCAAATGAAGATCCTCTGGAAACTCTGGCAGAGGCAGTTGTTCAAGTGGATGCACCACCTTTCCAGGCTGAAGAAGAAGAGAAAAGTAATGATAGCTGGGAAGTTCCCCTTGCCTCATTTCGCAAAAAATTGCCACCTTCAGAGTCAGACAGTGACTCGTCTGAGGAATTCTCTCAGATGCAGGAAAATGCTGCCCCACGTGTTGCATCACCTGAGCCATCATACATCCCTGATGAACTTGAAGACTCAGAAGAACAGGAATCTTCTGACGAAGAAGAGCTGAAATTGGATGGGAATGATCTGTCAACTTCTTTTGAGGTAAACAATGCTTTCAGTACAACCTTTTATTTTGAATCTGATTCAATTTTGAGTCCTCAAATCATGAATTGCCAATTCATTGAGGAGAAGAAAATTTCCAAGGATGAGTTTGATAGACATAGGATTACTGATTTTCTTGATCAAAGAAAAATCCTTAGTCTAGTTGAGATTGTCTGTCCTTATGATCCCTCTGTTGTGAAGGAATTTTATGCAAATTTACAAACCTCTTTTTTTTAAAGAAAAATTCTCCAAACTTTGGCAAAGTTTTTTGTGCGAAATTCCATTTTCTCCCTTTTCTCCCAAAATTATCAACTCTCATTTACAAACTCCTACTGTGATTGATGAGGATAATTATGGTGATTTTACTGAGGTTTGTAAGACTCTTTCTGGAAATCGTTTAAAATGTTGGCCTGCTCACCCCAGAAAATTCAAAGTTTCTCAACTCACTGCATTTTATTTTGTCTTGTTCAGACTCACAGTGATGAATTGGATTCCATCCAAAAATGTCTCTGTGGTTACTAAACTTCATGCAGTACTCATGTACAAATTGGGGATGGGATTACAAGTTGATGTTGGCAAACTTTTCTTTAATAATTTAGGTCATCTTGCCCAGAAAATTTCATCCTCCACTCATCTTTCGTATCCTTTTCGCATCTACTCCATTCTGTTTTCTCAAAATTTGGGCCAAGATGAATCATAATATCTTCACACTCCACTTGGCATGATAACTGTTTCTCAAAATTTTCTCAAGGCTACTCATGTCCAAGATCTTCCCTGGAATGGAGATAATTTTCTCTCAGCTGAATCAGGTCAAAATAATCTTGGTACTGAAGGTGTTGCTCCTCATGTTGACAACACCCCTGACAATCTTGTTTCTGTTCCTAGAGATCTCTTGTTACAACAGCTTACTCACTCTCTAGCTCAGATTCCCTATCACCAGTCCATGGTGGAAATGCTTCGAAAAACTCTTTCTGATCAAAAAGGGGGAGAAAAAGCTAGTCATGAAGTTGAAGCAGGGACTTCTCATCATTTGGATGCCAGAGGTATAGAACATGGAGTTAATGAAGAAGAAGAAAAGAATGAGGGTGAAGCTGAAGGAGCAGAGGAAAGCAGCAGCAGCTGATACTGAGGACACTTTGGATATTCTGCTCTAAAGTTATTTTTATGAACAATATTTGTTTTTGTTCAGTTTGTTATTTTCCCTCTGATCTTTTATGCTAGGATTGCACTATTATTGTTATTTGCTATATTGGTTATCATATTCAGGGGGAGTTCAAGCAATGACTCAGGGGGAGTTAAGCTAAAATTTAGTTTTGATCAGAAAGTTAAAAAGGGGGAGTTTGAAACACGTGGATTATTTCCACATTGTATTTTTAACTTTCTTATTTTTTAAACTAAATTTTAGTTATGGAGTAAGTAGTGCTTAGTGGGTTAAGTATAGTGCTTAGTGGGTTAAGTATAGTGCTTAGTGGGCTAAGTAGTGCTTAGTGGATTTAATTGTGGATTTTATTCTAACTTCCTAACTAACCCACTAACCCATTTTCTTGAGTGCTCTTGTGGTTGGTTTTCTTGCAGATCATGGGCTGAGGAGTGGAAGCTTGAAATGTCTATAAATACCGATTTCAATACTCAATGTTTTTTATCGATTCTACGAAATAAAAACCGAGAGCTGAAGAGAATACGTGATTGTTTTAGTGTGGTTTTAGAATCGGTTGTTTGTACTCTTCATGAGTACATTCTTTACGTACTTATCATAAGTACATTCTTTGTAGTCTAGATTGTTTAGTATAAATGTTTCTAGACTTGGTTGTAAGAATGATCAAGATAGTGATTCATTCATAAGTTCTTTACGTACTCCTCACGAGTACATCTTTGAAATCTAGAATTTTTAATATTTTTCTTTTAGTATCTAGATTTGATTGTAAGAATGATCTTGAAAAAGATTCATTCATAAGGAAGAAGTTTTCGCACCTCTTCTGTTTGTATTCTTGGAATACTGATTTTAATATATTTTTCCGTCCTGTAAAGGGCAAGTTCACAAGTCTTTACTTGTGAACATTTTTAATTCTGAGTATTGTTATTTTATCTTTATATTTCCGCTGCATGTTTGTTCAAGTGTCATAACACTTAAGATAACACCTCTGTATTAAACGAATTCGGGACCATAAATTCTTTCAAAACACAACCCCAAATGAGAAATTCAACACACAAAAGAATGTTATAGAAAAAGGACTGAATCAGGGAAAAGAAAAAGAAGCAAATACCTTCTTGTCAGCGGCGGCGCGTCCCAGCCTTGCGGTCTAGCAGAGATTTTTTTATGCCACCAACGATTTCGCAAGACTGATTGCGAATTGTTGCAGAGATTGTGGGAGAAAATGAGACAGATCGTGTTGGTGTTGTCATTTTTATCAGAAGTGGCGAAGGAGTTGAAACTTGAGAGCAGATAGTCATCAGTTTATCAAATGTGTGCGTTTTTTTTTTTTTTTTTTTTTTAAATTTATTCTTATTATCGTTGAGCTGCTTAGCGAATAAAACGGACAATTAATTATAGGACTTAATTATCCTTTACCAAAAAAATCCTCAGGGCAACAAATATTTCACCAAAACAGCATTAGAGTTTCGGGGCAAACCTTTCTTTTATATATAAAGATAAGTCAAAAGTTCTTGTTTTTATATATAAAGATAAACCTACATCATGTTAACAAAATACTTGCAGCTAGAAAGGTAACATTAGGGAAAACATTTCAAAGATGTACGGATATTCACTCTAAAATTTGCATAGATAATTTCAATCCTAGTACAATAGGAAATAAGTGGCAAGTGCAGTACGAAAGAATAGGAACACAAACTCTTTCATATAACATCGTCCTCCTTTCTTTTCCTAAAGAAATTATGTTACCTATTCCGATGTACTAAAAGAGTAGTATTACCTGAAGAGCTATTCAACACCTCAAAACCCGTTTGCTGTCAATTCCCCAAGTTAGACATTCATGTTTTTTTCCCTCCCTACACGTGAAGAAAATATCAGTATAATCAAGTGGAAGAATAATGAGTCTTGATCTTCAATCTGATAAGACATCATTACTAACTATTGCAATTACATATATAAGAATGTCATGATGCTGACCTCCGATCAAGCAAATAGGAGGATTACTTGTCTCCTTGATCTTCAATATTGCAGTCATCTCCAACTTATCAAACACAAATAAATGGTAAAAACAGGCTTCACACAACAGGAAAAATCTGCATGAAAAAACAAATTAAAAAGCTAGGCGAGGTAATTCCAATGATTGTAGAAAATTCAGTAAAAGCTTTGTAAAACAGGCCACATAAAGCGCCGAAAATAATGCCAACAAATGTCACGACTATTTAAGAACATTAAAACAGAGTTATCCGCATTTTTGTTTTGCCTGTTGTATGAGGGAAAACGTAGAATTCTTCTTCGCTAACAATATTTTCTTGAGTGAAGCGCAAGAGACGCATTTACAAAATAAAGCTGCAATTTTGTTAACACAAACAAAAGAACAAAATTTCGCAGAGCAGAGATATATTTTCGCATAATCCCAATGACCCACGAAAGATTTTTCGGAAAAGAACAAAATAACGCAAAAAACCAAGCAAAATTTCGAGGAGCTGCGATATTTTTCTGGTAAAAGAATAGTATAAAATCAGGTCTATGCTAAAGATTTTTTCAGAAAAGAGCAAAGTAGCTTTTTGCCAAAAATGCTCGCATAAATATTTTTTCGGAAAAGAAAGAAAAATTATTTTTTCATACTATCACAGATCCACCAAATGATTTTTACGAAAAAGAACAGAATAACGCAAACAATATAGCAAAATTTAGAAGAACTTTAATTATTTTTTCATACTATCACAGATCCATCAAATGATTTTTACGAAAAAAGAACATAATAACGCAAACAATATAGCAAAATTTAGAAGAACTTTAATTACATTACATATAACGTCAAGAAAATTGGTCCCCAGAATTTCATTGCGGTTCAATTATAAAGCATTGTACCATCTAATGGCCTCCATTAGTCATCTCTTATTTCCATTTTCACTTACAGCAAGATGAACTATTGAAGCTTTAACAGAGCAACATACCTAAAGGCTAAAGTAAAGATGCAAGTAAATAGAGCAACAAAGAATTTCATGAGCAGCAGCTTGAATGCAAAACCAACCTCTCGACCAACCAAGTTGTGTGGAATTTGTCAATTTACACGAATAAATCGTTACAAAAGATAAACTTTAGAAGTAGATCTACAAAAACTAACAATTTTGTGCACGACTACTACAAAGAATCAATCATATAAAATTACATCCATAATAAACGAAACGTAATCAAGAAGTCTCAAACAAACAATTACCAAAAGCAGAGATTGGTCTTTGACGGCAAAATCCATAATATGAATGGAGATGATTGGGGATTATGTTCCTATGTATTGATGCTATGTTGCGATGGAAGAAGAGCAACAAAGAGAATCCAAACGATTGTTTGACGGGTGGAAACAAAAATTGGAAAGAAGAGTTGTGGAAACGTTCAGAAACTGATAATGGTGGCCAGAAATTAAAGCATGTCTGTACAGATCCATTGATCTAACATAGCAAATTTGCGAAACTTACAACCATTAAACACGCAAACTAAAAAAATAGACACAACCCATTTGTAAAAACAAAGGAAAAAACAAATAGGGTCTTACTTGGGTTGGTGGAAAGAAAACAGTGTGATGTAGTTGAAGAAGACCAAATCTGGTGACACCAAATTCTCTTTGAAAACAAAATCTCTCTTTGAAAATCCGAAACCAAATTGAGAATTCGTCCAGAATAGCAACAAAGATCGTATTCAAAATCATCTTCAATTCTGTACTTTTTGTAGGCGGAAAAAAATGAAAATAAGGGAGTGGAAAGTGCAGAGATCGGTAATGATGGAAATTAAGAGACCAAAGAATTAGAAAATTCAATTCCTTCTCCAAACATATAAAACCCCAAAAATAATCGAGCTGTGGATTCTACTTTTTGCCGCCATCAGGTATCTGCAAAGCAATGAAGAAACACAATTATTGAATTTGGTATATTAGGAGAAATACTTACCATGAGATTGCTTCTGATTTTTCGATTTGCTCCATTGTTGCAGAAAAAAAGAGGTTTCTGTGTCAGTGGAGTGATGAATGTGTTTATACAACAAAGAAGCTAATAAGGGTAAGTGGAGAAGTGGAGGGAGAAGTTTCTACACAAGTTTTGCAGTTAGAGATACGTGGGCAGTTTTCTATACAGAGTGGGACGAAAAAAAAAAAAAAGAAAAAGGCCAAAATAAAACGGAAAAAAATTCGGCTAAAAAATTAAAATTTCAAAAATAACCCTAGGTTTACGGTTAGGGTTTGGGGAAAACTTTTCTTTTATATATAAAGATTATTATTATTATTATTATTATTATTATTATTATTATTATTATTATTAGGGCAAATTACCAAAACCCCCTCTGAGGTAAACCTAAATAACGAAAATCCCCCCCCACGTTCTCGTAATTACGAAAACCCCCCTGAGGTATGCAGACGTCTTACTAATCGCTCTAACGGTGTTAAACTCGATAGAATCTTTTTGATTCTCCCGAATATTCCTCCGATAATACCAATTTTGCCCTTGTACACGAAATTACCCTTAGGGGGTAATTGTAAGCATTTTATCCGGTGCGATGTTGATCGGATTAGGGCTCGAATTTCGAACATCTTTGCGCTGATTCTCGAGTTTGTGATTGAAAAGGTCGAAATTGGCCGATCTGCCTCTCCTTCAATTGCTTCAGCCTCCTCTCCGAAACCTCCATCTCCGTCAAACCCTCCAATGCTGCGTGCAAAGACGAGGTGGCGGAGACTAATTTCTCCATTTTCCGCAGCTTCTTGTCGGCGGTTCTCGAGCCGTATTCGAGTTTGCCGAAATCAATGACAGCATACCCAGAAATCAACACGCACATAATGAAATGGGCTGATACTCCAAACTTTATTTCGAATCAGATTCGCACCATCTCTTCACCTTTTAAACCCACTAATTATTATACTAAACAAACATATAATTAATTAATTAATTAATTTACTTATATATATATATATATATATATATATATATATATATATATATATATATATATATATATATATATATATATATATATATATCCATAGTGATATTATTAATTAACCTCACTTTTCTTTTTTCTTTTTTCCGACTGATTAATAAAATTGCAGTAGCAGCAAAAACAGTGGCGGCAGAATCATTCATTCCCCCCCTACTGTTGAGTGTTAATGGCCTCCAAGACCGCCGTTATTGCATGGTCTCCTCCGTCAACACTCATCTCACTCACTCACACTGCTAATCATACTCTGATTTTTTTTTTTTTTTTAAGTATGTGGTTTCACTGGTTTTCAGGGGTTCAGGGGAAGATGGGCACCTAGGGATTGGGAATAATGAAGAGAGAGAATGGGTCTGCACAATCACCGCCCTCCGCTCTGAAAACGTCTGTTCCGTCGTCGCCGGCAGCCGCAATTCCCTCCCTCTCTCAGAGAATCACATTTTCAGCTTTTTTCTTTTATTTTCACATATTTAACAGAAGGATATAATAGACATTTCACGTTTTCAGTTAAAAAAAATCGGTCAACCGTTAGTCAAGGGGGGTTTTCGTAATTACGAGAACGTGGGGGGATTTTCGTTATTTAGGCTTACCTCAGGGGGGTTTTGGTAATTTGCCCTAATAATAATAATAATAATAATAATAATAATAATAATAATAATAATAATAATAATAATAATAATAATAATAATAATAATAATAATAATAATAATAATAATAATAATAATAATAATAATAAGGGTAAATTACAAACACCCCCTGAGGTATGGTCAAATTACAAAAAAAACCCTCTTGTTTGGATAATTACATCTACCCCTCAACTATGATTTTTTCTTAGACCTCCACCTTTATGGTGCCAAATTCAACATAGTCATCTAGATTCCGTGAAATGTGCTCTAGTTTGTACTCTTTTTGTGTAAAAAATACAGTTTCCGATGCACCACAAACTGATATATACAAGCTAAAAATCACATATTATGGTCATCTTGCTTCATAATGTAGAGTTTGAATGGGATAAAACGGGTACAAAAGTGATAATATTCCGTATAATCTCAAAGATTCCACTAAATTTGATGAGTTGAGGGGGTGGTTGTAATTATCCAAACAAGAGGGGTGTTTTTGTAATTTGTCCATACCACGGGGGGGGGGGGGGGGGGG